AAACCCCTATGCACAGGCCGTGCCGCCCGGGGACCCTAAAACCCCTATGCACAGGCCGTGCCGCCTGGGGACCCTAAAACCCCTATGCACAGGCCGTGCTGCCCGGGGACCCTAAAACCCCTGTAATGTAGAAGGGGCCTCTACCCATTTATGAGCTGGGGTGGGGTTAGGAAGGAGGGGGACGTGAACCTGCAGGGTCCGGGGCCAGGCCTCCAGGACGCTCCTGGCCTTGGGTCCCTCCCAGGCAGGAGCTGAAACATGCACGTGTGTGGAGGTGATGGGCAGGGCCAGGGGACCATGTCAGGTCCCTTGCTGTCCGCACATTAGTGCGGCTGATACATGTTAAAGGGGCCTGAAGATTTCTGGGGAAAGATGACAGCAGGGCTTGAAGCCTTGTCAGGAAGCTGGATGGGAGCGTGGGCTCTCAGGTCTCATTCTAGACCAGTGGGGTCAGAAGGTCTCGGGAGCAGGGCCCAGGGCCGTCCAGCCAATCCTGATGCCCGCTGAGTTTTGAGGACCAGCATCAAAAAAATACCGGTCTGCTGGCTTAGTGGTCAGCAGTGCTGCTACCCCAAAGGTCTGAGGTTCAAATCAACCAGCCACTCTGGAGGAGAAGGACGGGCGGTCTCTCCCGTGCAATTTACTGCCTCTGGACACCTGCTGGTAGGCCAGCTGTGAGGCGGTCCTGACTCGATGGTGCCCAGCACTGACAACATCTAAGAGGTGCCCTCTCACCCTCGATGGCCTGTGCTAACTGATGGTGGGAACCCTTCATTCAGGTGTGTGCGTCAAGTTAGTCCTCAGTCCTGTGTTACACAGCGGAACTGCTTCCTAGGCTGCAGTCTCTGGGCAGTAACCTCACTGAGAGAATGGCCAGCTGTCCCCTCAGCTCCTCTCCGGGGGGAAGATGGTCAGTCCTGTGAGACTGGAATCTGAGAAAGCCCTTCACGAGCGCTCTGACCTTGTTGGGCAGCGTTACCAAGGATCAGCATCGGCCCAAGGCAGTGGGCTTGGCCAATCCTAGTGGACACAGCTTCCAGATCCTTCCTTCTGTGGTGCCTCTGGGGCAGCTTGCACTGCCAGCCTCTGGGTTATATGACCAAGTGCAAGCCATTTGCACCACCCAGTGACCAGCTCTGGTGGCCAAGTGGTAAGACGCTGCACTGCCAACACAGAGGCACGTGGTTCAAATCCACCAGGTGCTCTGTGGGAGAAAGATGGATGATCTCTCCGTGTGATTTATAGCCTGTGACAACCGTGACCAGGTGGGCGGTGGGCAGTTCTGACCTGACGGCGCACAGCAGTGACCGGTGTGGTGGGAGAGAAGAAGAAGAAAGTGTCTCAGTGACTGGAGTGTCCTCAGGCTTTGAATGGCCGAGACCTTGATGGGCGACTAGAATGAATGCATGCTACTTAAAAGGTGTTGTAACTTTCTACTGTGTGAAAAGTGGAATGAGCACACAGCTGTCCTTCCAGCACAGAGAGGTCCGTTTTCAGGGTTCAAGTGTGAGGCCGAGAAGGCGGTGTCCATCAGAACCTCTTCCTGGGTGTGTGGATTGGTCTTCACCCCACCCCAGCCCACTCCACCCCAGCCCAGCCCAGTCTACCCTAACCCATCCCACCCTACCTCACCCTACCCCAGCCCACCCCACCCCACCCCACCCTAGTCCAGCCCAGCCTAACCCACCCCAGCCCCTTTCTTTCTCCACTGACCTCAGTTTTGTACATTAACCTACTTGATGCTATTTGCTATTTGTTTTGGATTCCTCCCAGTAAAGAGGTCAGTTTAAAGACAAGGGTGCACCTTACCCAAGCCATGGTCTTTTCAGTTACGTGCTATGTGTCTGAAAGTTGGACAGTAAGTAAGGGTGATCCAAGAAGAGTCGATGTTTTGACTTGTGGCGTTGGAGAAGCGTCCTGAACGTGCCGAGGACTGCCAGGAGAACAGACGAGTCTGTCTTGAGGGACGTGCAGTCGGAGTGCTCTGTAGAGGCCAGGACGGCGTGACCTCATCTCACACTCTGTGCGTGTTGTCAGGAAGGGCCAGCCCTCAGAGAGAGAAGGGGTAGTGGCTGCAGCACGGGGTCCACGCAGGCCCTCGGAGAGGCACAGCAC